CCACTCTCTGCACATTGGGGCCGATGCACACAGGTCATACGGGCTCCTACCACTCTCTGCACATTGGGGCCGATGCACACAGGTCATACGGGCTCCTACCACTCTCTGCACATTGGGGCCGCTGCACACAGGTCATACGGGCTCCTACCACTCTCTGCACACAGGTCATACAGGCTCCTCCCACTCTCTGAACATCATCAAGATGAAAGCGGAACACACACGATGAGTCCTAATGAGCCAAAAAGGACTTCCGAAACAGCAAAGCACCGAGCAGCTTCCTTCTCACCAAGACCAGAGCTACGTTCTGATTGGACGAAGGCAAAGCTACCCGGGAAAGCTTTTAAAAGTCTCCGGCGGAACTATCGGCGACGAGTTTCCCTACCGACACACAATTGGGACTATTCCGCAGGAACACACAGGACTAAGACGCCGACTCCGCCTCCTCCCGCGCGCGGCACACAAATGGTTCTACTTCAAACCGACAAAAAGTTTCCAACACTTTACAAGACGACGCAGAAGAAGATTTTGTTGTTTGTTACACCACAGATAAAATTTGGCTTGTGCCACCCCCCCTTCCCCTCCCCCCCTCCCTCCTTTGAGCCAGGATCACTCGATTTTTATTTTGGTTTTTCAAATAATCAAATTCTACAAAAATATAAATTTTACCGGCGAGGTAAAAATTATTCAATGGTACCGTGAAAACAAAAATAAAACCGATAATATTGAATACAATGTGTACAAACCTAATACGACGGAATTATGTACAACCCAACCCGAGAAAAAAAGATTCACCTAAGTCTACGGCCCCGACTCTCCCGCGGTGATGGCGGCACGGACAGCAAGGCGCGGGGTCTTTACAGCTCGTTTGTTCCGATAATAAACGCAGGTTTTTCCGTGACGGGCAGTTTGGTTCCCTGGCAGGTCTGCGTCTCTAGAGACTACTGCGTCCCGCGAGACGTACACAGCCAGGGCGGCAACATTGTTCACGCCGTGCGCACAATCCCGGTGAGCCGAGAAACGTCGCGGCGGTCATGCGTTTGCGACATTTCAAAGCCTCGTCAGCTGCGGATTTTGTGATCACTTCCGAGGAGTGGAGGGAATCCTTCTTCCGGTCACCTTCTGATCTCCCCAGAGGTGGGACAGGACAATGAAAATGCGGCAGAATCTACAGCGCTACATTGACCCCCCCCATCGTGCAGCGGTGGCGACCCGGACTGGAGGCGTGGTCGGTGCCGGTGACGTACCCTGATACTTATAAATGAACACAGACAAAGTGGTAATGATGAGCGCGGTATGTGGGACCTCGCGCCGTGTACGGGATATTCAAGTAATGTAAGAACTCCACGCTCCGATAGACACCGCGGCGTGGAATTCCCAGGATTCAGCGGGGGGGACGCGGGGTCGCCCTACAAGTCCGTTGACGTTTGCTTTTTCATACTACGGCGCTGAGCGAGATTGGAGGCCGCCACCGGCTCGAGTATTGGCTGCAGCGTCTTGTGGTTCAGTGCCGAGTAGGTAGCCGCCATCGCACCCTGGAGAGAAAAAAATTAAAGGCAGAAGATGAAGAGAGAAAGAGATGGGGAGAGG